TTTGTGGAGCGGTTGTCGCGTGGCGTGGTGGAGGTGGTGTCCCTCGATTGTTTCAAGCATGGGTTGGACGGGTGTGTGAGTGGGATTGGGTGGTTTGTAATGGGAGCTGCCTCGTATGGGGCAATGGGCCTTCTGCAGTTGCCTTTGTTCTTATGTTCTTATGTTCTTATGAAACATGTGAAATACATTTACCAGTACACGAAACATGTGAAATACATTGACCAGTACCACGAAACATGTGAAATACATTTACCAATACACGAAACATGTGGAAATACATTTACCCGTACACGAAACATGTGAAATACATTTACCAGTACACGAACACATTTGAAATACATTTACCAGTACACGAAACATGTGAAATACATTTACCAGTACACGAAACATGTGAAATACATTTACCAGTGCACGAAACATGTGAAATACATTTACCAGTGCACGAAACATGTGAAATACATTTACCAATACACGAAACATGTGAAATACATTTACCAGTACACGAAACATGTGAAATACATTTACCAGTACACGAAACATGTGAAATACATTTACCAGTACACGAAACATGTGAAATACATTTACCAGTACACGAAACATATGAAATACATTTACCAGTACACGAAACTAATATAAAAACTAGTTATTGAATCCAAAGCGAGCGAGGCTAGCTATAATGTGGGCGGCTTTCAACGGCCTGCGCCCGCTGGGAACCTGGCTGACAACAGATAAGCTCAAGACATCTCTAATGAAAGGGACGAGGTTTGGGTTCTTCCTGGACCCTTATCAGGTCTTGATAAGGGTCCAGAACGGACCAAAACGTTGTCACTGTCGTGTGTGTGTGTCAGATGGTACATTTATAGTCTTATCAGTGAAGGATTCTATGAAATCAATTGATCAAAATAGGGATATTCATATATATATATTATATATATATATACTATATATATATATATATATAGTATATTATATATATATATATCTATATATATATATATATATATATCAAGTTGGTGCACCCCAAAAGAATTCGAAACCAGACAGCCAGGCGCCATGGTGTACCATGGCGTACCTGGTTCCTTAACCACTCTACCATCGTGCTCCAGGGGCCAGATTCACGAAAGCACTTACGAACGTGTACATCTTTCCTCAATCTTTGACGGCTTTGGTTACATTTATTAAACAGTTTACAAGCATGAAAACTTCCCATTCAACTGTTGTTATTGTTATAGACAGCCTCCTGGTGCTTCGGAGCTCATTAACTGTTTAATAATTGTAAACAAAGCCGCCAAAGATTGAGAAAAGATGTATAGGTTCGTAAGTGCTTGCGTAAGTGCTTTCGTGAATCTGCCCCCCTGGCTGTCTGGGTATGCCCGTTGGTGACATCATCACAGAGCTGTGAAGATAGCCTCCCAGTAATGTCAACAGAGAGATTTCAATATGGCCGCCAGTGACGTCAACAACAAAAATCCAAGATGGCCGCCAGTGCGATAATTTGTTATTCTTCAAAAAGAAAACCAAAAAATCCTGAAAAACAAGTGAGGAAACTGTTGGTGTTGGTGCTAACTTGGTGGGCGGGAGATGCCGGCGTCGCGGGACTCTAACATTCACCAATTTCGCTGCTCCGGGGCCCTTCTTGGGGCGCTATTACGCCTTTTCTCGCGACTCTTTTTGCATGTCCCGAAAACTTTGGCGCTTAGGCTTTCTCTCTCCTTTAGATGTGAGCTATATTTGATTTAGGTTTGAATTCGACTTGAGTTGGGTGGAAATTTATGTTAGACTGTAGCTAGATTTATATATATATATATATATATATATATATATATATATATATATATATATATATATATATATTATATAAGCCCCAATTTCGAGTCATTAGTATTTTAATGCCATTATTGTTTTTTTTTCGATTTTATATATATTTTGTTTACATTATAAGTGTGTGTGTAGTTCGGTCCATGGACTTTCCTGGTGCAAACCGACTGTGCTAAACAGATGCATACGCGCCATGAATACTGTACGCCCTACATATCTAGGGTGTAAATATGATTTACACCTTGAATATGTAAATTCCACGCGTTCTGCAGAGATATGTATACTGCACGTCTACTTCAGCTATACTTACATACCACGTATACTAAGTTATTGCTATGTATACGCCATGGTAAATAGCTTCTGCCTACCGGTGGCGCTTCCTGGAATGTTTAGACTTTATAGCAGGGAATTGTTGCTCTCTCTCTCGTCTTCTGTCGCTCTCTCTTCTGTCTCTCTCTCTCTCTCTCTCTCTCTCTCTCTCTCTCTCTCCTCTCTCTCACTCACTCACTCACTCACTCACTCACACTCGCTCTCTCTCTCTCTCTCTCTCTCTCCTCTCTCTCTCTCTCTCTCTCTCTCTATCTCTTCTCTCTCTCTCTCTCTCTCTCTCCCTCTATCTGTCTCTCTCTCACTCTCTCTCTCTCTCTCTCTCTCTGTCTCTCTCTCACACACACACACACACACACACACACACACACACACACACACACACACACACACACACACACACACCGAGAGAAAGTAAAATCCCCGTCATGGCATCACTGAGAGAAACACGTGTGTTGCCAGTTTTGTGTTTCTTGGGCAGGTTTTTATCAGGCAAGTCTCCCCTCCAGCGACATCTTTCCCAAGTAACACAAACACCAATTATCTCCTTTCAAAGTTCCTGGCAAAGTTGATAAAGTTGTTAAATATTACCATATAAATAACGTACATAATAACGATGATAAAATATTAGTAATAATATTAGTATTAAACATAATTATTGAGAAAATCAGTTGGAGCAATGCCCGGGATTCGAACCCTTGACCTGGGTACTCGAGCAAGCCACCCACTTTACCATGTCTTGGTCTAGGGTTAAGGTGCGCGGCTTGGGGGTACCCGGGTCGAGGGTTCGAATCCTCCGTATTGCTCCAATCTATTTTCTCACTGATATATGACGTTAGTGTGATTTTCTTGTATTAATCGTAATTTGTGTTATTGTAATTACACAAATATTATAATTTGACCAGGGAGATATTCCGTGTTGATGAATGAATTTCGAAAATACAATTTTTCGAAGATCGTGAGTGAAATATTAACGTGAAATAATATAATATATATATATATATATATATATATATATTATATATATATATTATATATATATATATATATATATATATATATATATATATATTATTAAATATGACCGAAAAAGTAAGATTAATAATTCTAACACGAATTTTCTCAATCTTTCGTACATTACGCTTCACTGTTGGAGGTAAATCAAAAATCATTCTCCAAAATTCATTTTTGACGCAACACGGGCGCGTTTTTTTATTAAAATGGAGAATTTTGGAGAATTGATTTTTGATTTACCTCCAACAGTGAAGCGTAATGTACGAAAGATGAGAAAATTCGTGTTAGAATTATTAATCTACTTTTTCGGTCATATTAATAATATATGTCTACAGGAAAGACTGCTACCAAAATATACTAATATATATATATATATATATATATATATATATATATTATATATATATATATATATATTATATATAGCTGGGGTCCAAGCTAATTGAAACAACTAGAGACCCTAGAGCCGCCAGTTTCTCCCTCAACGCCTTAATGTGGCGATCCAGAGAGGAAATGCTCACTGCATCCATGGTTCCTGCCCGCCATTTGAGGAGCGCGAGGAACTTGTGACAAGTAGCCTTGTACCCCGTGCACTGTGGGGGCCTCGTAGCCTGGTGGATAGCGCGCAGGATTCGTAATTCTGTGGCGCGGGTTCGATTCCCGCACGAAGCCGAAACAAATGGGCAAAGTTTCTTTCACCCTGAATGCCCTGTGTCCCAGCAGTAAATCGGTACCTTGGAGTTAGTCAACTTCCCACGGCTTCTTCCTGGGGGTGAGGCCCTGGTCGAGGACCGGGCCGCGGGATCCTAAAAGCCCCGAAATCATCTAAGATACCGCATGTACCAATGTTGTAACCTTTTTGTGTAATGAAAATTTAAAATAAGTTAGATATATATACACACATACCAATAGAATAGGGGTGGTAGGAGAAGAAAATATCAAAGTGCTCAGTGAGGATCCAAAAGGTCTTCTCTGAGTACTCTTTATTTTCTTCTCCGAGGATATGGGTCCCTACACTTGCACCAGAGGTGGTACCCCTTCTAGTTTATATATATATATATATATAGATAGATATATATATATTATATATATATATATATATATATATATATATATATATATATATATATATATATATATATGTCGTACCTAGTAGCCAGAACGCACTTCTCAGCCTACTATGCAAGGCCCGATTTGCCTAATAAGCCAAGTTTTTCATGAATTTTCTCTAATTGTTTTTCGACTACCTAACCTACCTAACCTAACCTAACCTAACTTTTTTGGCTACCTAACCTAACCTAACCTATAAAGATAGGTTAGGTTAGGTTAGGTAGGGTTGGTTAGGTTCGGTCATATATCTACGTTAATTTTAACTCCAATAAAAAAATTGACCTCAACAATTATTCATGAAAACGTGGCTTATTAGGCAAATCGGTACCTTCATAGTAGGCTGAGAAGCGTTTGGCTATTAGGTAGGACATAATATATCTATAAAAATATATATATATATATATATATATATCTATATATATATATATCTATATAGATTATATATTATATATATATATATATATATATTATACATTATATAATTATATATCCTTTTCCTAATTCCTTCTTCTTATATTTAACTAATATTTAAAAGAGCTGACAGGTAAAAGAATGAATCTCAGCATTAGAAGTTCTGAAAATGTGGTGACCGTCGCAGTGACCAAGCCGCCATGATCGAGGCAAGATACACAGATCTCGTAAGTGGCACATGATGATGAATCCTGAAGCAAGACTGTGAACCCGAGTGTAAACAGAAAGCACTTGAAGTTCGAGTGCAAAGAATGACTTACACTTGAGTGCAAGGAGGGCGAGAGTCCAGCCCAACAGCATGTCAACAGTGACCCAACTCACACACCGGCGGCTCTCTTAGTTATCAAACTCACTCTCTACACTATTTTATCAATAATATTTTAGATTCTTGTTTTGTTCTTTTACATTTTGAAGGTGTGGGGGATGGTATAGCAATGGTGGGAGTGGTTGGCAGCAGTGTATGTGGTGGGTGTGGGAGAGCGTGTCAGTGTGGCTGTTGGGGAGAGGTTGCGTGCACCCGCTACGACGGTTGGAGAGAGACTGCCGCGCGGATGGTGGTGGTGGTGGTCCTGCACTGACTTCAGCCAAGCGCGCGCTGTCTCGCATCACGCTTCATTTGGATTCAACTTTTCTCTCGTTTGAATTATTTGGCGAATCTGGGGCCAGATTCACGAAAGCACTTACGCAAGCACTTACGAACGTGTACATCTTTCCTCAATCTTTGACGGCTTTGGTTACATTTATTAAACAGTTTACAAGCATGAAAACTTCCCATTCAACTGTTGTTATTGTTATAAACAGCCTCCTGGTGCTTCGGAGCTCATTAACTGTTTAATAATTGAAAACAAAGCCGCCAAAGATTGAGAAAAGATGTACAGGTTCGTAAGTGCTTTCGTGAATCTGGCCCCTGGCCCTTAAAGTTATGGATGGAGGTGGCTTCTATAACTTGTTCTTTCTGTGCATCCGATTTGTGAACCAGGTGTACAGGGCATGAGTATTTCCTCGCGTTTATTCGAGTCGTTTGCGTTTCCAGCTTCCGTTTATGTTCTTTTGTATTACTCTGTCTCAGTTTAAAGAGTCTGCCCTTTCCCAGTATTTTGTATGCGGTAATCATGTGCCCTTTCTTTCTTCTCTATTTGGTGTTGTGAGGTTTAGTTCCCTTAACCGGTCCTCAGTGGACATCCCTCTTATTTGTGGTGCTACTGTGGGTGGTAGTTGTGGTGGTGTGGGTGGTAGTTGTGGTGGGGTGGGTGGTAGTTGTTGGGTGGTGTGGGGTGGTAGGTGGGTGGGTGGGGTGGTGTGTCTGTGGGTGGGTGGGTGTGGTAGTTGTGTGGTGTGGTAGGTGGTAGTTGTGGTGGGGTGGGTGGTAGTTGTGGTGGTTGGTGGGTGGTAGTTGTGGTGGTGTGGGTGGTAGTTGTGGTGTGTGGGTGGTAGTGGTTGGTGGGGTGGGTTGTAGTTGTGGTGGGTGGGTGGTAGTTGTGGTGGGGTGGGTGGGTAGTGGTTGTGGTGGGTGGGTGGTAGTTGTGGTGGTGTGGGTGGTAGTGTGTGTGGGGTGTGGAGTTGTGGTGGGGTGGTGGTAGTTGTGGTGGGGTGGGTGGTTAGTTGTGTGGTGGTGGTGGTTGTGGTGGTGGGTAGTTGTGGTGTGTGGGTGGTGGTAGTGTGGTGGGGTGGGTGGTGGGGTTGGTAGTGGTGTGGGTGGTAGTGGGTGTGTGGTAGTTGTGGTGGGTGGGTGGTAGTTGGTGGTAGTGGTAGTTGTGGTGTGGGTGGTAGTTGTGGTGGTGTGGGTGGTAGTTGTGGTGGTGTGGGTGGTAGTTGTTGTGGTGGTGGGGGGTGGTAGTTGTGGTGGTGTGTGGTGGGAGTTGTGGTGGTGTGGGTGGTAGTTGTGGTGGTGTGGGTGGTAGTTGTGGTGGTGTGGGTGGTAGTTGTGGTGGGGTGGGTGGTAGTTGTGGTGGTGTGGGTGGTAGTTGTGGTGGTGTGGGTGGTAGTTGTGGTGGTGTGGGTGGTAGTTGTGGTGGTGTGGGTGGTAGTTGTGGTGGTGTGGGTGGTAGTTGTGGTGTGTGCGTGGTGTGGGTGGTGTGGGGTGGTAGTTGTGGTGGTGGGGGTGTAGTTGTGGTGGTGTGGGTGGTAGTTGTGGTGGTGTGGGTGGTAGTTGTGGTGGTGGTGGTAGTTGTGTGGGGTGGGGGTAGTTGTGGTTGTGGGTGGTAGTTGTGGTGTGTGGGTGGTAGTTGTGGTGGTGTGGGTGGTAGTTGTGGTGGTGTGGGGTGGTGTTGTGGTGGTGTGGGTGGTGTGTGGTGGGGTGGTAGGTGGTGGTGTGGTGGTGGTGGTGGTGGTAGTTGTGGTGGTGGGGGTTGTGGGGGGGTGTGTGTGGTGTGGGTGGTAGTTGTGGTGGTGTGGGGGTGGTAGTTGTGGTGGTAGTGTGGTGGTAGTGTGGTGGGTGTGGTGGTAGTTGTGGTGGTGTGGGTGGGTAGTTGTGGTGGTGGTGGGTTGTGGTGGTGTGGGGTAGTTGTGGTGGTGTGGGGTGGTAGTTGTGGTGGTGTGGGTGGTAGTTGTGGTGGTGTGGGTGGTAGTTGTGGTGGTGTGGGGTGGTAGTTGTGGTGGTGTGGGTGGTAGTTGTGGTGGTGTGGGTGGTAGTTGTGGTGGTGTGGGTGGTAGTTGTGGTGGTGTGGGTGGTAGTTGTGGTGGTGTGGGTGGTAGTTGTGGTGGTGTGGGTGGTAGTTGTGGTGGTGTGGGTGGTAGTGGGTGGTGTTGTGGTGGTGTGGGTGGTAGTTGTGGTGGTGTGGGTGGTAGTTGTGGTGGGGTGGGTGGTAGTTGTGGTGGGGTGGGTGGTAGTTGTGGTGGGGTGGGTGGTAGTTGTGGTGGGGTGGGTGGTAGTTGTGGTGGGGGTGGTAGTTGTGGTGGTTGTGGGTGGTAGTTGTGGTGGTGTGGGTGGTAGTGGGGTGGTTGTGGTGTGGTGGTAGTTGTGGTGGTGGTGGGTGGTAGTTGTGGTGGTGTGGGTGGTAGTTGTGTGGTGGTGTGGGTGGTAGTGTGTGGTGGGTGGTGGGTGGTAGTTGTGGTGGTGGGTGGTAGTTGTGGTGGTGTGGGTGGTAGTTTGTGGTGGTGTGGGGTGGTAGTTGTGGTGGGGTGGGTGGTAGTTGTAGTGGGGTGGGTGGTAGTGGTGGTTGTGGTGGTGTGGGTGGGGTGGTAGTTGTGGTGGGGTGGGTGGTAGTTGTGGTGGTGTGGGGTGGTAATTGTGGTGGTGTGGGTGGTAGTTGTGGTGGTGTGGGAGGTAGTTGTGGTGGGTGGGTGGTAGTTGTGGTGGGGTGGGTGGTAGTTGTGGTGGTGTGGGGTGGTAATTGTGGTGGTGTGGGTGGTAGTTGTGGTGGTGTGGGTGGTAGTTGTGGTGGTGTGGGTGGTAGTTGTGGTGGGGTGGGTGGTAGTTGTGGTGGTGTGGGTGGTAGTTGTGGTGGGGTGGGTGGTAGTTGTGGTGGGGTGGGTGGTAGTTGTGGTGGTGTGGGTGGTAGTTGTGGTGGGGTGGGTGGTAGTTGTGGTGGTGTGGGGTGGTAGTTGTGGTGGGGTGGGTGGTAGTTGTGGTGCCAACAAGCCAACGACACAAACAAACAATAGTCCCCACTCTACACAGATCAACAAGCAAAGAGGATGTTTTCCTAACGAATTTTAATTGCAAACTCTGACCACAAATTCAGTGAAAATGCCTCAGAAGCTTGGTCAACATCATCTGGTCGTACACGCACGCACACACACACACACACACACACACACACACACACACACACACACACACACACACACACACACACACACACACACACACACACACAAGCGCTGGGAAGACGGGACACCACGAGCGTAGCTCTCATCCTGTAACTACACTTAGGTAATCACACAAACACACACACAAAGGGAGTAAAAGAGACAGTGTACCTGCGGCCTCTCGCCAGGTAGAACAGGTGAGGAAGGGAGAACTGTCACCTTGAGAGGCAAGTCTCAGGAGACACCTTAAACAATGTGACCAAACGAGGCTAGTTAAGGCCTCAGCTCCGCCACTTCACCAACCAGGCAACGCGGAGGCCCCGTTTCAACTTCCCAATTTTCCCATAATTAAGTTTGATGCATTATTATTCTGCCTCGGTATTTGATTACTGCTTCGCTACATTATCGTTCTCTGTTATAGTGTTGACATTATCAAATGTTGGATTATTTTATTGTCTAATGGAGGAATCTTGGGATAATAGCAGGGTAAGTAGCTCCTGGACGTTGGTTCTTACGGAACACGCTACGTTGTCACGTCTACCTTCGTTTGTATGTATGTATGTATGTATGTATGTATGTATGTATGTATGTATGTATGTATGTATGTATGTTTGTATGTATGTATGTATGTATGTATATGTGTGTATATCACGAAAATAAACACGTGATTAAAAATGTGACAGTGTCAGACCACGGAGGAAAATTGAAACAGGAAATTCCTTAAGTACTTTCGTATATTAATACATCTTCAGAAGATGTATGTATGTATGTATATTATGTATGCAAAGGATAAATGAAGAGCCATCGTCAACGGTGCATGAATGAAGGCACAATACACTTACAAAGTTAACGTTGTCATTTATATATCAGCCTCTCACTGGTTATTCCTTCCTCTACTTTCCATTCTCGTGTTGGGAAACCAGGAGGCCCAGGTAATGAAATGCGGGTCGCACTTCCCGTAGACTTTACCAGACGGCCGCGCTCTACGGCGCGCAAGTTGTCACACATGAAACAATTTCTAATCAATAATCATCATTATTATTATTATACTAACAATATTTGTAATATTACATACCTTAAATACATGATACAATGGGGGAATTCTCGTTATAAGTATCTCGGGGAATTTGCAGTACCTGCCGACCAGTCTCCGTGGTGCAGTGGTAAGACACTCGCTTGGCGTTCCGCGAGCGCTTTGTCATGGGGTTCGTATCCTGGCCGGGGAGGATTTACTGGGTGCAAATCCTTAACTGTAGTCTCAGTTTAACTCAACAGTAAAATGTGTACTTGGTTGTAACAACGATTCTTCGCGGCGGGGATCGTATTCCAGGGACCTGCCCGAAACGCTACGTGTACTAGTGGCTCTACAACAATGTAACAACTCTTGTATATATCTCAAAAAATATGTGTCAAATATTACCTATCAGAAAAATTATTCTCACACCTTGCGTCACTTGTGTGTTACAGTGTAAAAATATACGTGAATTTAGAGACAGTTCTGTAACAAATGTTCAAGAAAAGTTTCAATATTTCATTCAAAATAATTTACACCATCAGTTTCAGCCAGTCTCAATTTGCTAATTGTAGGAAGTAAATGCGTGGGATTGAACCTTTCCACCGTCGCCTACTGGATGGGAAGGAAGGAAGGAAGGGGTGAATGATAGGCAAATCAAATTATGAAAGTAGCTCCCCTCAAATGTAGGTTACTTAAATGCCTTTACTCCCTTACAAATGTAAGGGAGTCGGTCGGCCGAGCGGACAGCACGCTGGCTTGTGATCCTGTGGTCCTGGGTTC